TATTTAAGTAATTCTTTCTGAAGCAATACGATTTATATCCTTGTTTCCCAAGTTTAGTCATCTTCCAGTCGTCACCTTCTCAATTGTACTGTAGCTGACATAACCTGTACTCTTAGTCACTTAATATCTTTTAAATTGAGTCAATTGTTTTTGCTTAAGTAAATTAGTTAAAAAGGAAAGTGACCTCATGTTGCTATTGTAAATGGAAAAGCAGTATCATTTACCTTAAGTAAATGGTAACCTAAAAATAAAAACCATAGAAACAAAACAATGTCAATAAATTATAGTTAGATGCTGGTGCCTGCCAAAAGCATTGAGCCTGAGTGAGCTGTGTTCTCTCTTTGCTAAAACAGGGGAGTTTTAGCAAACATTAGGGAGGTTAGTCATAACAGACCAGCACCAAGTTAGAATTACAAAAAACTGAAAAAAAGGAATGAAATCGTCTCTGTAATTTGGGATTAGGTGACAGAAACCTCAAAGGAATAGTGACTTAAACAAAATAGAAACTTATTTCTCTCTCACACAAAGTCCAGAGGCAGGTGGACTAGGGATGGTGTGATGCGCCACAGTGTAATGAAGGTACACTTTCTATGTTGTGGTCCCATCAGGTGTGGCTTGTAGAGTCACTTCAAAGCTCAAGATTGCTGCTCCGATACCAGCCATCACATCTGCTTTCCAGCCAGCAGCTGGAAAAAAGAAGAAAAGGGGAAGAAAAAGTAACACCCCTCCTCTTTAAGAAAACTTCCTCAGTTTTGCTTGCATCCCATTGACTAGAACTTAGTCACCTAGCCAGGGAAACAGGGAAATGTAGCTTTCATATTGGGCAGCCAAGTGCCTGAATTAAAAAATAAGGGAGAAGACTTCTATCAGTAGAGAAATGGACAGGCAACAGCACTCTCTGTGATTTTGTCACTCTCTGTGCCACACCAGTATGCCTCCCAGATTCACCCCAGGTGGACCACCTGAGTCAGTCCAAGCCCAGATCTTGGGCAGACATCTCCAACTGCCTCTGAAGTTGGCCTTGGCCCTGCTGCTCCTCTGACACCCTGCAAGCTAAGAAAAGCATTCTCTATCCCAACAAAGGTTACATTTTGTTATTAGGCCCCTTAAAGCTGGCCCTGTCCCCTGAGTCCATGTCTTACAGGCCCTCTAAGCTAGGTGGGCTGATGTGGCACAGCACCACTACAAAGAAGGCTGTTGCTCACACTCAGGTTTTCTTTCTGGCTCTGCCCCTCACCAGCTGTCCTGGCCATCACTGATTCCCTCTCTGAGACTTCTTCATTGAAACTGACACCGCAATGTCAGGCAGAGGTCCTGGCCATGGGCTGGAAAAATCCATGGCCCCAGATCCAGCTGTGTGTAGCTGTATATCTCTGTCCTGATGCTCAAGGCATTGCACATCTTAAAGGGAACATTCCACACAAGGACTTATTCAAAAGCCATCCTCATCATAAAGTTATATACAAAAATTGCCAAGGATGATCTTGGCAACTGCTAGCAAACTGGAGGTGGAAATTCTCTCATATCAGGTGACCTTGAATTATAATCTGAAGCTGGGGAGGGTGGGGCGGTAATGACATAACCAGGGCAGGGAGGGAAGTTATGGGGCACAGCCACTGACAACCTCAGAGGTGTATCACCCAGCTGGGTCACTAAGACTGGGGGTACCACCCAGTTAAGGCTGGGACCATAGGCTTTTAGAGCAGGAGACAATCTGGGGACCCTGGCCTAGTTGTTCTCTACCTTTTCTGAATCAAAGATACCTGTTAATAAGACCACTACAATAGACTTGTATTTTAAGAGTTGCTTGCCAGTTAAATTGTACAAAGTAGAATTAATTCATGTTTCCTGCCCTTTTCACCTAAGATGCTTCTCTGCTGGTCAAAGGGTCTGGTGCACCTGGGCAAAATCACAGCACCAAGCTGAGCTGACAGATGCTTGACATCTGGGTGTCCTGCTCAGGCTCATGCTGGAGAAAAACCCACCACTTTAGATGGGAACTTTAAACACCAAAAATAGCTGGTGAGCCAGCCCCACTTGTGATATCCTTTACCAGCCTTGGCAGTCTCCAGTCTCCTCCCAGGCTGGAAAGAGGTAATCTTCCTGTCCAATCTCCTCAATTCACTGGGGGGAAAAGCAGGACCTGGGAGGGGAAATGGCTTGGCCAAGGCCACACAGCTATGGCTGGAGAGGTGGAGATAGAATTGATTGTGCTGCAGACCTCCCGATTGGTGGCCACTGCATTCCCACTTCTACACACTCTGCATTTGCCCAACTGCAAAGCTGCAGCCAACAGCCTGACAGCACCCTGTGGGAACCAGCTGGGCAGAGATTCAGAGAGGAGAGGGATTGCTCCCAAAGAAAGGAGTTTAGAATCATCCACACCCAAGGATATAAAGCAGAAAGGACGCCTGGATCCGAAGGCGAAGGCTATGCCAAAATGCCATAGGTGCCATAAATTAGGCGGTCAAACATGCCAGACTCGTTATAATTACCCAGCATGCTGACAGCGTGTCTGAAGGCTGAAGTCTTTACGACAGGTCCCATGATATTAACCTGGCTTGTTATATGATCTTGTATGTGTGATAAGAGAAAGTATTGTTTTCCCCAAACACCAGCTAGATCAAGGTCATGAGCAGATCACCCAGAAAGCAGTTGTAACCTGTCATGACTAATAGAAGAATAAATTGCTGTATGTTTTTATTCTCAGCCCTGGGACAATCACAGACTCCCTCATATAAAGTGTCAAACTGTGACACTGTTAGAGAAATCAAGTGTTAGCTCAGTTTTCTTAGTAGCTGTGTGGCCTTGAACCAGCCACGGCTCTCAGGGTCCTCAGTTTCTCAGCCATAAAGTGATCATGTTAGTCCCCGGATTTGTTGGCTAGGACTGCTGTCACAAAGTAGCACAGACTGGAGAACTTCAAGAACAGAAATGTATTGCCTCTCAGTTGTGGTGGCTGGAGTTCCAAGATGCAGGTATCAACAGAGCTGGCTCCTTGCAAAGGCTGTAACGGAGAGTCTTTCCCACGCCCTCTCCTAGCTTCCAGGGGCTTGGTAGGAATCTTTGGGGTTCCTTTGCTTGTAACCACATCACCTGATCTCCACCTTCATCTTCACATGACATTCCTTCTGTATGTTCATGTCTGTCTCCAATTTCCCCTTTCTGTAAGGACACCAGTCATACTGGATTAGGGGCCCCCCCCAATGAGCTCACCTTAACTCCTTCCATCTGCAATGACCCCATTTCCAAACAAGGTCGCATTCTGAGGTACTGCAGGTTAGGACTTTCACATATGAATTTTGGGAGGACATAGTTCAACTGATAACTGTCCCCATCCCTGCCATCTCAGCATGGCCCATGAGGATCACAGAAGGCATGCATATGACAATATTTAGAGGCAGACGAAGCAGACAGGAGGGAAGAACTGTGTGGTTCTGCTATGGAGGTCAGAGAGATGTGGCTGTAACACCTCTGAGAGGCAGGAGCTTGGGGGTCATGGCTGTTCTGAGAGCTTGGCAGAGAACCTGGGTAGCCAGGTTATCCATATTCCCCTGAAATGCTTGAAGGCAAACCCAGGAAAGAGTTTCACCTCCTGAGACTGGCTGTGGAGCCTTTATTTTCTTTCCTGCCCCATCTAAGGGTCTGCTACAATCTATAACAAATTTGTTTTAAATGGCACTCTCTTGGAGCCCCTCACCAACACACACACACACATTAGGGTTAAACAAAAGAACTGATGCTAAAATAATACTTTAATCCCCCATGTGGTTTGGGGTGGGTGGGTAGAAGGCTGCCATTTCCTGCTGCCATGTACCAGTACGATCCGGTGACTCCGTACAGAGCAGCCTAGTTCTGCAGAGGACAAGTATCACCTGCCCCTCAGCCGCCTGTCTCTGCTCAGCTCTCCAGCCGCACAGCACCCTCTCCGCCACCTGTGCTCCCTTCATCCTGTGGCATGAAGAATTGGGGTGACTTGCCCAAGGCCCCACAGTCACGTAGCAGAGCCAGCAGTCAGACCCAGCCAGTCTGGCTTCTCAACACCATGCTCCCCTGCACCAGGCAGAAGCTGGGCCAGGACCCAGAACGAAGGGCTTGGATGTATATGGTAGTGCTGAGAAAGAGCTCTGGGAGAGAGGCTGAGCCTGGGGCAAGGGTGCCGCTTTCCACTTCGTGCTTCAGAGTTTCCCAGCGAAGTGCCTTAGAGGAGGGGGGCTGGTGCTGGGGAGCAAAAACTGGTGAGCCGTTTGGAGCAGGGCAGGCAGGGGGAGTCCTTCATGCCCCTCTCCCTTGGGGAGGCCAATGTAGTTTTTTCTATCAATTGAATGATTTTATTGGAAAACATATCAAATATACAGACAAGGATAGAAAATAAAAATCTACCCACTACCTGGCTTTACCAAATTTAACACTAAGCCACATTTGCTTCAGATTTTCACGTTTAAGAAATGGAACAACGGATAGAGTTCCTTGCCTATCACTCCTGCAATCACTCGCCTTCTCCCAAAAGAAATGACCATCATGAAGTTGGTGTTTACCACTCCTGTGCATGTTTTCATACTTTTCGTATATGTTCATGCATCTGTACACATAGTGCTGATTTTTTAAAAAATATGCACTGCTTCTGAGAGGGCATCCTCCCATCCCCCACCCGAAAATAAAGCAAAGAAAGCCTCAGGAAAAGGTGTTTATAGTGCTGATTTGTATGTCCTAAAACTTTGTCCCAATGGTAACATGCTGGACATTCCTCATGACACTTGGGACTGCTGTATGGACAGGTCACAATTTCTTAGATATATTTTCTGGTTGTTTCCCTTTTTTATGTTACAAATGATCTTACAAGAAGATTCTCACCCAGACAAAGCTCCTGTGCTCCTCTACAGCATAGACCTAGAAGTGGAATTCCTGGATCATGGAGCTTTTCTGGGTATTGCTAAACTTCTCTTAAAAGTGGTTTTACCAATGTATAGTTCCACCTGTAAACATTTGAACTCATCACATCCTTGCCTACACTTGGTAATATCAGACTTCATGATTTTTGCCAAGGTAATGGATGTGAAATGGTATCTCACTGGGATTTTCATTTGCATGTTCTCTTCAACACTGAGATAGTATCCAATTTTCATGGCTTTACTTTAATGGCCTGAATCTTTAGATATCTCCTCCAGTGAGGTTCTAGGAGAAGTGCAGAATGGCTGCATCTCAGTAAATCTTTGTCCTGGCTCTCAGTAACTCCAGAAATTCCCTTACCTTCTGGGTCAGAAATTCCCTGTTACCTGAGTAGCCTGGAGGAGTTGATCTAGTGGAAACTGGAGGTAAAGAGCCCTGCTCCACCTCATTCATCCACTCATCAATGGGAGGCCAGCACAGTGCCCTGATGGTGACCTATGGTGAGGGCAGGCGGACCACTGCAATTCTCGCCAGGGATGGCCCAGGCACTCAATCCTCTGTAGGAACATTCTGGAGAGAACGTAGGCAAGAGAAATGGTCAGATCAAGAGACTATTACCTTACTGAGCAGAAAACCACAGGGAAAGTGTGATGTATTTTCAGTAAGCTCTACTGTATAACAGATAGAAAGTACACAAATTGTAAAGTGGCCAGTCCAGTGAATTTTCATAAAGTGATTGCATTTGTGTAACCACCCAGATCTACAACAGAATATCACCAGCAGCCCAAAAGTTCCTCATGTCTCCCCTCCCAGTCCTACTCTTCCTCCCCTCCACGTTAGGGTCACCTACTTTAAACATCAGTATTGTAGTTTTTGGAGGGTGTGAGAGCAGTTCTCTGGATTTTCCCATGAATCTCATAGGGAATGTACCTAAAGTCATCACAATATCATATGAATTTAAAAATATTTGGACACAAAGCCCCCAACTGTAGCCAGATCTCTGAGGTCCCTTACTTTTGCCTACCGGATGGAAGGAGGCTGGGGATTGGATGGGGATGGAGCCCTGGGGTGGGGAGTAATTATTAACTGGCAGGATAGTATTCTCTAACATTTTAAAATCCAGCATGGACTTGCTGCGTGCATAGCTGAGTGTCAGCAGAGGGTGCAAGTGAGAAGCAAACCCATCGAGAGGCTTCTGCAAGGCAGCCGAGAGAGGGTGGTGGCTTGGCATGGCTGTGGCTAGAAAGAAACGAATGGAGAGTCAGTATAGTTTGGTGGCAGAATTCACAGGACCTGGTGATGGATTGCATGAGTGGGTAAGGGTGAAGGAGGTGTGAAGGACAATGTCTGGGCATCTGGGTGGAGGCCGATGGCATTTACCAAGATGCGGTTGCCTAGAGGAGCAGGGTTAGGGTGAAAATCATGAATTCTGTCTTGGACACATTAAACGTGAGATGCCTCCAAGCCTAGCAAGCCTAGCATGCCAAGCAGAGAAGTAGAAATAGGATTTTGGAGCTGAAAGAAAGGTCTGGATTGTAGATTTAAATCAGAGAGTCATTGGTCTCTTCAGGCTGCTTAAGACCATGGATGTAAAGGGAGTTCTGAAGGACAGAGACCCAGAAAGGACCTCACCAGTTACTGTTAATACTCTTTAGGTGTGTGAGTGATATTGAGGCTATGTTTTTAAAAGTCTTTATCTTTTAGGCAAATATACTGAAATACATTATATTTACATACAAATATAATATATATAAAATAATGTGAAGCATTGGACTTGCCAAAAAGTAGGTCAGGGGAAGAATGACTACTATGAATATTTAGTCCATAAGTTGGTCATTGCTGAAGATGGGTGAAGAGTACCTAGGGGTTCATTGTGCTATTTCTGTTTTTGTATATGGTTGAAATTTTCTATACTAAAAAGATTTAAAGGAAAATGAGGACACAGCACAGATGGAGGAGGTGGGAAAGCCTGCGAAGTGGCCCGAGGGGCAGGGAAGACGTCTGCCGGCAGAGAGGGGTCTCCGACACCCATGGGAGAGGGGGATTGGAGGAGCAAGTTGGCAGCTCCCATTAGGGATGCAGAGGCAAGTCACACAGATGCTTAATTGTGCCCCATGGATCCAGCAAGGAGGCCATGGTGGGCTCTGCAAAGGCAGTGCCGAGAAAGCGGGTTCAGTGTCAAAAACCTGCCACCCTGTGCCGGGGACCCGGGAGCTGGTGCAGGGCAGGAGCACGTGTAGGCACCTTCTTGGACAAGCCTGACTGTGAATGAGGACAGAAGGGCAAGGAGTTAAGAGGAGGCTCTCATTCCCAGTGAGAGAGACAGAGTATTTTGACCTGAGAGAGGGGAAAATCAAGATGCAAGGGTGGGGGTCAGACAGCCAGCGGAGTGAGGCTCTGAGCAGCCCATGTGCATCCCACAGGATGAAAGGGAGAAGCGGGTGCAGGCAAGGCAGGCCAGAGGGCTTGGAGGCCAGAGCCCAGCGGGCAGCTGCTCCTCCCTGTCCTCGGAGCAGGACGCTTGGTCACCAGATGCCCGGGAGGGGAGGGCATGTAGGAGAGCTGCAGGCTTGAGGCTGAAATGGTCGTGGAGAATGAGAGGTGAGCCTGCCGCCTCCACAGGTACCACTTAGTGAACACATATTTTAATTATTTTTTTTAAATTCTGAAGTCATGACTCTTACCTGAGGGCCCAGATGAGGGAGCCTTGAAGCGAAGCATCACTGACCTCCAGTTAGAATCACTGTGAAACCGAGGGGAGCTGGAGGCCACCGCTGCGCAAGAGAGTCAGAACTGACCCCAGCCAGCCCAGGAGTCACGGGGGGGCTCCTGAGTGTGGCAGTGGCTGCGTGAAAAATGCCATGACTCCATAATGAAGAAACCAAAGAGTAAAGCAGCCAGTGACTATCGGTTTGATTCACTATTTCAGTGATCTGCTTTCTTCCGTTTATTTCACACATAAACCTTTGTACCATAGTTCCTTTTCCCATAAACTATGTATTTATATGATATGGCAGAAGACAAAAAGGTGGAAAAGGTGGATGACATTTGTTAGTGAACTACTAGTACTTATCTCCTGATTTTTCTTTATTGCTTAAGAAAAGTAATCTTGACTTAAATATTTGTCATTACCTCCCCTTTTAGAGGCTTGTACATCCCCTCACCACTGTCCCTCCCCAGGCTGGTACTGCCAGAGACGCACAGGGCTGCAACATTAAAAATAAAAAATAGCCCCAAGCTTGTATCTGCATAGGGCCCTGCACTGACTAAGCTACGTCTTTAGCCTCAGCTGACTGGAACTTCAAAAAAGCTCATGCTCTGTAGGGTTGGCAAGACACAGTGGGGGGGTTGTTGTTGTTGTTTTCTTTTAAATCCCCATCTAACAGATGAAGAACCGAGGGGCCCAGGAGGAGCCATGACTACCCAGCTTGTTAAAGGCCGAGTGTCCCCTGAAGCCCATCATCTCTGGCTTCCAGGTCAGCGCTCCAGGCGTCAGTGGTTGGGGTCCAAGAGATGAGAACCAAGGGGGTGGGGGGTCCATGGCGGGCAGGGCACCAGGATAAAAGCTCTGGCCGGGGTATACTGGTGGGGCCTTGCTGCCCTCTTCTGCTGTCAGTATTGTTAACTAGTCATGGTGGGGCATGAACAGAAGTCTTTCTCGGTCTCCAAAGACAGTGGCCCTCTCAGGGCAGAAAGCTGTGAAAAGCACCTTCACTGCCAGAGAAAACCAGGGGCCCGCCAAGCTCAGGCCATCACTTACATGTGCTCCAGACCAGAACAGGACTCCGCTTTTACTGAGTGGGAGCAAAGGGCCAAAGAAAACAGTAGTGGGACCCCCATCCCCTGGATGCCAGCCCCCTGCCACCACCCCCTCACGGCAGCCCACCCCTCTGCAGAGGGACAGTGACTGTTCTAGTGACTCACTCCTCCCTAGGGAGCAGCCCGTGGAGGAAAAGGGGGGCTGTGCACGGGAGCAGCTCTGTATGGACAGATCTCGGGAGGGTCCTGGTCTCCAGGAAGGAAAAACAGGAATGAAATCACCCGGTTGGCAACAGCGCTGATCTCTAAGGCTTGTGGGGGCCCTGGGAGCAGCGTGAGGGAAGGACACTGAGGGGAAGGGGGCATGTGCTTGGCTGCATTTGGGAGCCAGCTTTCCTGGCCATGGCCGGGACACCTCCCCCAGCACGATGGCAGTGATAAGGACAGAGCTGGGCCCATATGGACCTGTCTGCTTCTACAAGGACAAGATCATGCGCCCACCTGGCTAGGAGTGATTAACCCCATTACATCCCCAGGTGCCCACACCTGTGGAGAGAATCAGATTCTGCTTTCCCCAGGCTAACATATTTAAGCACTTTCATTTTGGACCTCTAACCAAAAGTGTGAGGCCTGATTCTCCTCTCTATCAAACCCCATCTTCACAGAAAATAACACATGAAGTTATTTCATGATACAAACAAGGAAACAACACAGACATTCAAACCTATGCTCTCTTATTGCCAGAGCATACCGAGCCTAGTCCCAGACCCTCAAAGCTGTATCCAAACACACATTTCACCTCTTGGTGTTGACACAGTCAGGGAAGAACAGCAGTGTGGGTGGTGTGGGGCTCCCTAGAAGCTCCCAGGGTCTGCTTCTGACTTGGGACATGAGAGTCCCAGGATGATTTGGTGACTGGAACTTAAGGCTCTGTCGCCTTCTCTGCAGCCCAAGGACATTAGTGGATACCTGGGGACAGACACGCTACAGTGCCTGGCACATGTTGAGAAACTCGTCCATTTCTTCCTGTGCTTGTACAGTCATTCATTCTGCAGTTCTGCAGGCCTGTGCCAATCGCCCTAGTGTGCCCAAAGCTGGGTGGGGCTTCAGGGTAGATTCAGAGATTAGTGAGACAGTCCTTGCCCATGAGTGGCTCCCGAGGCCAGAGGAAACAAGCTGGAATAGCTCTAGTTGCGGCCCCGAACTGTCCTGGTCCTGGGCTGGGCTGTGTGAACGCACCGAGCACTTTCCACTCTCCTGGGGGATCCACTCCTTCCACGGGGCCTTCTCTGAGCATGCCCACCCCTCCCAGAGCTCCGACCCTGCTTTATGTTTCTTCAGGGCTCTTATTACCACCTCCTGATTTCCACTGACTGCCGGCCTTGCCTGGACTGCCGATTCCGTGGGGGCGGAGACCTCGCCTGCTCCTGTGGGAGTTCTCAGCTCCTGTTACAGGGCTGGCACAGAAGCTGCTCGGTAAATATTTGTTGAAAGAAGGGAAGAAAGGAGGGAAGATGCTCTGACTCACCCACTCTGGCAGATCTGAGGAGGGCTTCCAGTGGAGGCAGCACAGGGCTGGGTCTTACAGGATTTCCCTGGGTGGAGAAGAGCAGACAGGCAGTCAAGCATAGGGAACAGAATTTAGGACGCTGGAAGGAGCGCCGGCCTGAGCTGGGAGCAGAGCTGCAAGAGGGGCAGCCAGAGAGGGAGGTGTGATGGCTCCTGAAGGGCCTTGAGGCTGTAAAGGTGGTCTAATCAGGGCTTTGTCCTTGGGCTCTAGAGTGCTTAGGCAGAGGACAAGGAAGGGTGGAGTGCGCTGGAGTGCAGAGGTGGAGGCCGGAGGGAGGCTTGTTGACAAGGAACTACTTGATTTAGCAGCTTTCAGACAGTGCCAGCAGAACAGGGCAGTACTTCCAGGAGCCACAGGGTCCTGAGCACGGAAGTGCAGCCCAGGTAGAGCCTGGGAGGCTTCATGGAGGAGGCACGTTCTGTGCAGGTCTCTTGAGGCCCCCAGACCACCCCAGAAGGAAGGGCTCAGGAGGGCCAGGTGCCTTTCTCAGCCTGGTAAGAGGAAGGGGTACGAGCTGGCAAGGAAGGCACCAGAGGCCAGCTCTCCTTAGGCCATAGCTACCCACTCCTCCCACCGCTGCCTCCTAGATGAACACATTCACCCCACCCTTCCAGGACGGATTTAGGAGACTTTTCCAGCCAGAAAACCTGTGCATAGACAGGGCCAAGTTCCCCAGGGCCAGGCGATAGCCTTGAGTGTGTTCTGCCCACCCCTCTCGCCTGATGCCATCTCAAGGCTGGGGACTTTCCCCAGACACAACTTGGGCCCCCGCCAGGCTCCAGGGCTCTCCTCGGCTCCATGCCCAGGCCCCACCCTGCTTCCTTGGCGGGAGGCAGCTTGAGGTTTGGGTCTCTGGGGCTAAGCAGGGCCTGGGGGAGAAGGGGCCCCAGGCAGGTCTCCTGTGTTTTGTAGCCCTCTTGGCAGTGTCACCTTCTCCTTCCTCTTCTTCCCACTCCTGCACAGGAAAGGAGGGCAAGATGCACCCCAACACAGGGGGCTGCTCTGCAGGACCCACCAAACTCTGAAATTAGCAAGTACACTGATGCCGCCCCACCCTGCTTGTGGGGCAGGGGAGACACGTTACACTTATCATATATATAACACTGCTCCTTATAGCTCTAACTTTTTGGTGCAAAAACATGAAAAAAATGTATTATGTATGACTTGATATCACATTTGATATATTTAGATACTTTTTCAGAGAAGAAAACCCATAAAACCTCTCTGGGAAAAAGAACTTCCCTTTCCCCCAACTTTTCCAGTTATTTTCGGTGCCTTCGTAGCCCTCCTCTGGCGAGTAAGGAGGGAGAAGCCCCGGCGCCCCGTCTCCCCCAGGGGCCAGGCTCTGGGGACGGGGCCCCACCCACCAAGGGGTGTCAGATTGATGGCCTTCATCGTGGGAGTGAGCTCCCTAATGTTTTTCTCTGCAACGTCTCAGCTCTAAACGATCGTGACCCAAGGCAATTTACAGTTACTTCCATTTTTTTTAATGAAGTCTGATTTAATAGTCGGAATGGTTAATGGCCTCGTCTGTCACACATAATAAAACAGAGCCTAATTGTATTTTAAAAAGGCCCTTTTGGTATGAGCAGAAGCAACAACTTGATTGCATTTTGAGAAAGGGCTTTGGTGTGTGTTAAGATGGCTTCCCAAGGGCACTAGGCACTTTCTCCCTGGGTCACCATCTCACCCTCCCCGCCATGGTCCTTTCTTCTAAAGGAGTTTCCTAATTCCCCCAGCCAGTAAAAGTCCTTGGCTGTCATCCAGCTTCCTCAGGACACCCATCCACGGGCTCCCAGAGCTTTACACACCCTTCCATAATTACAGCCCTCTAGGCCCTCCCACAGAAGTCACTGGCCTGATACCCATTTTACACCTGGGAAAACTGAGCTGGCTTGTCCTACCTGCCCAGAGCCCCGGGTTTGGTGAGTCAGTGCCTCAGGTAGGCTCTGTTGCCAGCTCTAACCACTTACAGTCCCCACCCAGCTAGACACCCCACATGTACTTCTCCCCTGTGGCAGAATGGGGCCCCTGTGAGCCGGGCCAGGCGTCTTGTCCTCCAGGAATCACTGTGGTTGACCACTGAATGCAAAGCCCATGGGGAAACCGAAGTGAAGAGAAGTGATTCAGCCAAGAGCCCAGGGTTTGTGCAGAGGGACCTGAGGTTAAATTTTGAGTCGTTGAGCAAAGAAAACACTTACCTTCTATAAAATACAAAGGTAGTGCCCTTCCTTCAGGAAAGCCTGTGAAACCCCACAGAAGTCTGCCAGGGCCTGCCCCCCTCTCCCTACTCTCTTTGGCAGCCTCTGTCCAGGGCACCACCTGCCCCTGGTGCCCCAGCACTCCCTGAGCAAGCGGAGCCTGGAGCCTCAGGCGAGGTTTACCAGTTAGCCGTGCAGGGGTGCCAGGGAAAGGCCTGAAGGTGAGCTGCAGCTGAGCCGCGCTGGCCTTGCTAACATCATGCCAAATGCACAGTGGCCCTCTCCCTGTTGGGGAGGGCCAGTGAAGAGGGCACTGGACTTGGTGGAAGGAGGCCACAGATTGCTTTACCATCACCCCACCATGTGGCCTTGGGCATGTGTTCCCTTTCTGAGTGCCAGCCGCTCCTCTGTAAAACACATCCTTGTTCTTCATGCTCACTTCTCCATATCCTGGCTAGGGGATCGTCTCGTTCATGCCCTTGCCTTTGGTGGGAATTTGCCAAGGGCAGATGAGGGTGCCAGGCAGGCCCATAGAGCCAGCCTGGAGGGAGACCAGATCCCTTGGGAAGAAGGGGCCAGCCAAGCGGATGTCTTAGCCTGGCTGAGGCACCCACCCTGAGTTGGGTGTAGGGCCTATCTGACACTCCCAGCCTTCGTGATGCAGCCTCTTCTAAGTGCTGGAGCCTGAGCAGAGGCCGAGGAGGAGCAAGGATCATGTGGGTTCTCATCCAGTGTCTTGGCCAAAGGGGTGGGCAGCTGGAAAAGGCATCCAGGCAGGACTGTCCCTGCTCCCCAAAACTTGGCTGGGCAGAGGGCTTGCAAGCTGGTGCCTGAACTTGCAGATCATCTCTGGGGGCAGAGCCCATGGCTGTCCAGGCCCATTTGACATCCCTAATAAGGGGAAGGGAGCCATGAGGATGGGGAGCTCCCTAGCTCCTTGCTACGAGATGCAGGGAAAGAATGGGATAGAGTTGGACAGACCATGTCCCAGTCTGCCCAGCTTCCCCAGTGTGAGACTTGGCCCCTGTATCTCTCTGGAATGGACAGCCAGTGATCAGGACTTGAGGGTGTGGCAGACACGCAAGGAAGTCCTCACCCAAGCACGCGGAGAGTCTGTAAAAACCAGAAATCCCTATCAGTGTATGGGCAGGTGGGGAGCACAGTGGGGAAAATGGGGAGGGAGCAGGCATTTTCTCTCTCCCAAGCTCTCTCTCACTCCCTTGTGTTCAATCTGAAAAGGACAAAGTAAAGCAGATACCAGGGATGGCTGCGGTAGAGGCTCTGCTGGAAAGAAAAGTTAAAATGAGCCGGTACCAAAAAAAGCCTGATGATTCTCAATGTTGCTAGAAGTTCCACCTGGGTGCAGGGACAGTTCTCAGGGACGGGAGGAGGAGCCCCTTCATTCTGCCTCTGGCAGCCCTCTCATAACTGTCTAAGCACAGGAAGGAAGCTCAGGATGCATCTAGCATCTTCCTCTCCTCCCTTCTTGCCCTGCTTTGGCCTCATTAAATCCGCCCTGACTTTCCTGTCCCTCCCTCCATCTGTCATGTCTCCCTAGCAAAACCCCAAAGTTGAATAAATCAAGAGTCCATCCTCTCAGTCCCACACTTAGACAAGAGAATATAGCTGGAGTAAAGCACACAGCCAGGTTGTATGAATCAGCACAGGTCATGCTCAGTAACAAACAATTCCAGGGTCTCAGGGACCCCACTTTGAAGGCTCATTTCTCACTCACAGAGAGCAGGTCCACTGCAGCTTGGTGAGACCCTTCCCATCGTCTTGAATTCAGCATCCAGGCTGATGGAGCAGCCTCTAGCTGAGATGTAGCCATCTTGGGGCAGAGAGAAAAGGACATGGTGAGCCTACCTTGTTTCAAAAGCTTCTGCTTCAAAATGATACAAATCACTTCCTTTCATATTTTGCTGATTAGCACAGGTCTTATGGCCAAGCCTGATGTCATTAGGGCAGGAAAACAGACTTCTTCCCCAGGGAGGGACTGTGAATATTTTCACAAAATAATAGTCTACCAAGCAGGTGTACAGTCTCACCGAAAAGGCATGCCACTCACCTCAACAGGTTCCTGCTGTCTCTAGTCTCCATTTGCCAAGTCCTTTCAATCCCCCACACTCCTAGTTCACTATTTTATGCCTTTCCCACTCTTCTCGAATGTCCAACATCCACTCCTCTATTCCACCCTTGCTAATTCATGACTGTCCTTATTTCACGCAGGAAACAGAGGCACCCAGAAGAGAACTTTCAAATGCTTTCACCATCAAAGCACTCAGCTTAGCTGCACCTGAGTTCATGCCTTCTGCCTTCTCCCTGCTCTGGCCCTGGACTCTTCATGCTCCTGGCTGAAGACCCTCCCATTTGTAGACCACATTTCACCCCTTCACCTGCCCCCGGATATCCTCCCGTCCCCCTGATATCCTTCATCTTCCTTTCTCTCTGGATCATTCTGCTTAGAAGCCAGCATGCAGCTCCATCTCCCGTCTTCAGTAACACTTGCTTGACCCCACCTCCCTCTCCAGCTCCCACCTCACATCTCGGCTCCTGTTTATGGCAAAGCTTCTCTGACAATGTTGTCTCTGTGCTCTGGCTACAATTCCTCAACTTCCCTTCCCTGATATTCCACTCCATCTGGGGTTTTTGTCTACATAAACCAGTCTTCCTAGACCCCAACACCCTCCACATGTCAGTCCAATGGGCGATCTGGTCTCACCTGTCTTACCTACCAGCTGCTTTGACAGTCATTCTTCCTCCTTGAAACTTGGTCTCAGCGACAACACTACCCCTTTGCTAATCCTATTTCACTGGCTGCTTCTGCTCCATCTCCTTAATAGTTTGAACCCATCTTTCTGACCCCCAGACTTCAGAGATTTCAGGCCTTAATACTTATACCTCACTTCTACCCATGCTCACTTCCTTGGGGGCTCAGCTATCACACAGCATCGAGTACCACCTACATCCTGACAATCTCCACACAGCATGAGCCCATCATCATCCCTAACCTTCAGATTTCTAAATC